CGCCAAAACTTGACGCCGGCTTCGTCCTCGCCCCACCCGACAATCTCAACGTCGTGGTCAATGTGCGTGAAGTTGGTCGTATCGTGCAGGATCCCGGCCGTGTAGTCGTTGATGAACGGCGGGCTGCACGCAATCCCGCACGTAATCGGACCGTTGAGGAGCTCGTGCATCATGGCATGCTCGCCGGCAATGCGCGCATACTCCTTCGCTCGATACCGGACCATCTTGGTCACGGGGAAGCAGTGGGGCACATTGAGGCTGTCGGGCGTCTTCATGCAGCTAGAACGATAGCGTCAGAGGAAATGAGGTAAGCTGGTAAGTGTACTTGACGCAGTAGCCGTCCGGCGGACACGTGCCATTGTACAAGTCAATGTACTTGGTGTAGTCGGTCGCGTTGTAGTGCAGACACGTCTCGTCCGGAAGGCCATACTTGTGCATAAACTCGTACACGTCCGCGGGCTCGCCGCCCTTGCAGCCGTGCGAGAGGCCGTGGCCCGGCGCGCAGTTGAGAAAGCTCTGCCGCCCGAGCATCACGTCCGGGCCGTGGAACCCGAGCTTGTGGTTGAGGATCTTGATGCGGTCGTTCGCACTCGAGAGCGCGCCGTGCGCAAAGCACGACCCGCAGTACTGCGGAATGTGCTGGTTCCAAGACGACGTGCACATACCGCGCTCGCACCAATCGAGCGCCTTTGGCAGCGACGCCATCGCCAGCACCTCGGTGTCCGTCGGTGGCGGCAGCGTATGCACGCTCGGATGCAGGTGTTCGCGCTGGCGCATCGTGCGCTGGCAGTACGAGCCATAGCCGACGCCAGTCATGGCCATGAGGACCAAGAGAAGGCGTTGCATGAGGGCCTAATGCAATCTGTATCGACGACGACGACGTTCTGCCCGCGATCTTTCTTCCAGCCCAACGGGATCTTTGCGTTGCGATCTTCCGACGCACGGTAATAGTGTACGACCAAGACAGCACAGCGCTAACCATCGGAAGACGCTCGCTTGTTCGAAAAAGCTAAGTTTCAACTAGGCTCTCAGCACGAGCAGTCGGTGCGAGTGCGTTGCGCATCGTGGCGAGTCATGGTGCGAGTGAGGGAGCGCATTGGGTGGGTGGTTTGTCGCCAAATTTCATACACTATTCGGATGGCATTCGTTGCACCGTCCGTACACCATTTCCTACCAATGTCCACTTGCTACAAAAGACAAGTATACGAGGCCAGATCTTATTCAACGCAAATCGTGTCATATGCAGTAAATGGTGTTATGATTCATGTCACAGAAAACCTTGTTGACCTCGACGCCGCTGGCCGCGCACCACGCGCAACGCCCACGAGAAGATAGATGCATTCGACAAGTCAGGTACTACAAGCCCCGAGCACTGCCGCCTGACGGTATTGGCGTAGTACTGTTCTCTGAGCCTCTGGTGAGGGCTGGTGGCGGCGGCAGCGAAGACAGTGGGAGCAGCACTGCCTGGGTGATAGATATTGGGCGGCTGGGATGATCGACTTGAAGTTTGGGCACCCACTTTTCTTTTCGGTACGCCAAGATGACCACGTACGGCAGCGGTAACAACAGCGTGGCCTTGCCCACGACGCGTCTCGTGCTCAAGCACTCGGAGCGCCCGAGCGCGAGCCGCCCGCGCAAGGCGGCGCTCGCGTTGGGCCTCGGCGTCGCGCTTGGCTGCGCGTACGCGGCGACCGCCCACCATGGCCGCGTCGCGCCGCTCCTGCTCGGCGACGCCGTGCGTGGCTGCGACTTCCGCGACGGCGACCGCATTACGCTCCGCGCCGACACGGGCAAGTACTTTTCGCGCTGCAACAACTGCATCCCGGACGCCGCGTACCCGGATGCCGCCTTTGTCCACGCCGACGCCGTGAGCCCGGCCGCGGTCTGGACGGTCGTCCGCGCCGCCAACAACAAGGTCGCGCTCCAGGGCGACAACGGCAAGTTCCTCGCCCGCTGCACCAACTGCGCGCCGATCGCGACGCACGCCGACGAAGCGTTCGTGCACGTGGCCGACTACACGGAGGGGCCGTGGGCGCAGTGGACGTGCATGGACGCGGGCAAGGGCAAGATCGCGCTCGCGGACGACACGGGCAACTACCTGAGCCGCTGCAACAACTGCGTCAACGGCGCGTTCCCGGACGCGGCCTTTGTGCACGAAGCGCACTTCCACAACAAGCAGCACGCGCAGTGGACGGCCGCGCGCGTCGGCAACTAACTTTTTAGTAGTCGATTTTGCCGACAATTTTGTCAAGGCCATTAATCTCAGTTGCTATGTATAATTGTGTTCATGTTGTTGTATAGTTGTAATTTCTAAAGTCTATCTTAATTACCAGCGACGGCCACCACGACCGCCGGGAGGGCCGCCACGACCACCGCGGCCACCGCCGCCACGACCGCCGCCATAGCCACCGCCACGACCACCGCCGTAGCCGCCGCCGAAGCCGCCCGTGCGCTGGGGCAGCTCCTGCATCTTGGGGAGCGTCTTGGGGAGCGAGTACGGGCAGCCGTACGAGCTCGAGTCCTTGGCCGCGATGAGGTCCTCAATGACCTTGAGGCCGGCGTTTGGCAAGTCAAAGCACGCGCCCATAGAGTCGGCCGTGAGCTGCATGCTCTTGATGTCCTTGGCAAACTCTTCCGGGATGTCGCGGTTGACGGCGTTCCAGACGTAGCCCTTGGCGCGAATGACGTTGGACGACTCGAAGAGGACCGTCGTGAGGTCCGGCGAGCCCGAGAGGAGCGACGCCTTCGCCGGCGGCTTGGTGTGGCCCGTGATGCACGCGAGGGCGGCAGCGAGACTCTTCTCGGCGCCCATCGTGTCGATCAACGTCTTGGCCGTCTCGAGGAAGAGCTCGATCATGTTGGGGTCCACGGTCTCGATCTCCGAGGCGGCAGTCGCGGCCGCACCCGTCACCATGTCGTCGACGTTGGGCGCCGCCTTCATGATAAACTTGTTCTTGATCGACCGCTCAATCAGGAGGAGGTTGTCCTTCTGCTTGGGCGTGAAGAGCGTTATGCACGTGCCCTTCTTACCGGCACGACCGGTACGACCCGAGCGGTGCACGTACGTGTCGACGTCGGCGCGACCCGACTGCTTGCGCGGCGGCTCCGAGTTGATGACGAGGTCGACGTCCATGTCGAGACCGCGCGCAGCCACGTCGGTCGCAATCAGAAGACGGATCTTGCCGTCACGGAAGGCCTGCATCGTGATCTCGCGCTGGTTCTGCGCAATGTCACCGTGGAGGACTTGGGCGTCCTGCTTGATGTCCGGGTTGACGGCGAGTTCGTTGCAGTCCTTCTTCGTTTCGGCGAAAATGATCGTGCGCGACGTCTTGGTCGCATACATGGAGAGGAGGTTGGCGAGGAGGCTCGCGCGCGTCTGCCAATGGCAAGGGATCGCAATGTGCTGGACGTCCTTCGAGGCCTGGTCTTCGTTGTCGTTGACCATGTTGACGTAGACGCGGTCCGGCTTCATGTACTTCTTGGCGACCTGGTCGAGCCACGACGGGATCGTGGCCGAGAAGAGGAGCGTCTGGTGCGCGGTCTTGGCCGCCTCCATGGCCTCAAAGACCTTCTGGATGTCCTCGCGGAACCCCATCTCGAGCATGGTGTCGGCTTCGTCAAGGATCAAAAACTTGCACTCGTTCAGGCGCAGCGTGCCACGCTCGAGGTGGTCGCAGATACGACCGGTGGTACCGACGACGATGTCGACGCCGTCGCGGAAGTCCTGGTTCTGCGACTGGTACGACGCGCCACCGTAAATGCACGTCGTCTTGAGGCTCGGCGCCGTCTGCTCAAACTCGGTTGCGACCTGCTTGGCGAGCTCGCGCGTCGGCGCCATGCAAATGACCTTGGCGGCACGGCCGCGGTTGGTGCGCTTGCCCTCCTTGAAGAGGCGCTCGACGACCGGCAAGACAAACGCGAGCGTCTTGCCCATGCCCGTGCGCGCACGGCCAATGAGATCAAACTCGTCGTAGATCTTGTCGAACGTCATCGACTGGATCGGGAAGAGCGTCGAGATACCGCGCTTCTCGAGCGCAGCAATCGTGATGTCGCCGACGCGGAAGTCCGAGACCTTCGGGTTGCCCTCGCCGATCGTCGAGACGTTTTTGGCTTTCTTGGCGGCCGGCGACGCGACTTCCTCGTCCGAGGCGGGCGAGGCCGCCGGCGCTTCCTCGTCTTCGGCGACGTCGGTCGTCTCGTCGTCCGAGCGCGAGCGCTTCTTCTCCTTCTTGGCCTTCTTCTCCTTCTTCTCCTTCTTCTCCTTCTTCTCCTTCTTGAGCTTCTTCAGCAGCTTCTGCTCGTCGTCGGAACTCATGCTCGCTCGATGGATATTTGGGAAATGGCAATCTCGATAATCATTGGTGGTCTCGAAACCCTCTACAAACCGATCGAGTCAGCCGATCGATTCTCACAGGAGGATATCCACTGGCTGCAAGTGATTGGCTCGTGGCGATTCGCGCGTGAAACCGACACGATGACATGCATCGACAGCGGCGACGACGCATCGACTAGCAAAACTACGATACCGACTAACTACGACGATGCAGTGTCCTCGACTAGTACCGTCGATATCCTACTCACAGCATGGGCCAAGCGCTCGTTCAGCGCACTCCTCGCTGCAGGCTGAACCGTCGACACCGCGTGGCGGCACGTGACGTCCGACTCTGCCATCGCACGCCGTCTCGCCCAACGTCCGCCATGCGCTGGGTCCACAGCTGCTCGTTGGTTTGGTCAATCGGTCGTTTGGTGGGCTCCTCAACAACCTACGACGAATTGCTGGCCAATAAGAGCTGCGTTTCCTCGACACGTCGTGGCGATGATGAGGAGAGATGTACGATACGCCATACACTTGAGAAGGAGGCAGATACTTAAGTAGTCGTTAGGGTCTAATAATGACGCTTCTCCAGCGTCATGAGCGACGCGACAAAGGTCATGATCATCTTGGGCTTGACCTCGACAATGTCTTCGTACGTCAAGAAGACGGTGGCGCCAATCTTGCGGGCGCACGAGATGGCATACTTGGCGTTCGCTGCCTTGTCCTCGTCACTCGACGCGTGCTCGACGACCGCGTCCCAGTTGACCGCCCGGGGCTCGACGGCCGCGACCAGATCCAAGAGGTACACTGCGTCCGAGAGCATCGCGTCTCGGAAGGTCACCATCCGCTTGTTGTGGCGCACGGCTTTGGCGTTCGCCCACTCGATAATGTCCTTGTCGCTCACGTCCTTCCCGAGCGACGAGAGGAGCTTGAGTGAGTTGTGGCGCATCATCTGCCAAATGAGCGAGAGCACGAGCTTCTTGTTGCCTTCGGCAATGTCGACGCCGCCAATGTTGACGAGCGAAAACTTGAGCTGCTTCCCGAGCACGACGCAGTAGTTGCAGTTTTCGACCTTCTTAAACTTGTTGGCTGGCGCGACATTCGCTTTGGTCCAGCTCACGACACCCGGCTCCATCTTGTCGAGCGTCTTGAGGATGACCATGCCGTCCTTCAAGTCCGAAAAGAGGTGGTTCACATACGTCTCTGAGAGCCCGAGCGAGTTGATCCACATGCGGAAGCAGCGCTCTTCGCGCGTGTCGCCCACGTCGTCGTCGAGAATCTCCTGGAGCTGCGCGGTCACGTCCACGTCATCGAGCGCCGGACACGTGTTGAAGAGCTGGGCCACAAACGACAAGTTGAGCTTCGTATTGCCGCTCGTAATGTCGCTGGGCTTGATGAACGCATCGACGTGCAGCTTCTCCGCGTTGCGAATCACATGCGTCGCACGCTCGAGCGCCGTCGGCTCCTTGCACACGTCGCACGTGCTCGGCGCAATCTGGTGGAGCAAGACCGAGTAGACCGTCGCGTCGGCCACGTCGCGGCCAAAGTTGTGAATCTAGTCGATGTACATTGATACATTGATACAAAAAGTGTCAAGGTGTACCTTCTTGTCGTGGTGCGCTGCCGCCAAATGGTAGTTGACCCAACGCAGCAAGATTTGCTCGGGCGGCAGCTTCATAAAGTCCTCGAGCGACTCGCCATCGAGAAGGAGACGCACGAGCTCCGGGTGGTTCTTGAGGTTGATGGTCGCCGTGAGCTGGATGCGGATGATCTGCCACACAAGCCCGAGCACGAGGATCGGCTTGCCCTCGAGGAGGTCCGACGGGCCAATGTTGACGATCGAACACCCAATCGACTTGGCGGCGTTGATGCACAAGTTGTGGTTCTCCGTCATCTCGTACACGTTGAGCTTGTTCTTGATGTTGACGGCGCGCATGTCGATCGTGTCGGGCACCGCCTAGATACATGAGACTAAACGACGTGATGGCATCACGGAACGTACGAGGTTGATGAGCTTGCAGAGGAGAATACCGTCCGTGACCGAGGCAAAGAGGTCGTGGCCCGACGGGTCGATCGGCAGGTAGGCCAGGTGCGCATCACCGGACAGGCAGTTGTTGATGTGCTCGGCAAACGCCATCTTTTCTTCGTCCGAGTACGAGTGGACGCCGCCGGTCGCACTGCGGCTCTCGTGGATGTTGAGGTGCTTCTGCACAACGCTCGCCAGCGCGCTCGCCGTGCGCTGGAGCGGCGCGTTGGCAGCGGCATGGGCCTGCGCCGGCGACGACGCGCCCGAAAAACCGCTCGTCTTGCGGCTCGGCGTCACAGGCGGGGTTGAGACCGGCGACTTGGTGTTGAACTTGGCAGCCGCGGCTGCAAACGCCGACTTGTTGCCGCCCGTCGGCGTCACAGCAGGTGCTGGAGTCACTGGGACAGGCGGGGGTGGCGGCACGTATGACGGTGCGGCCGTCTTCTTGATGGGCGCCGCCGACGGGACAGGCGTGCTCTTGCCCTTGTTAAAGGCCGCCGACGCGGCGGCAAAGTTCGAGTTGCGCGGCGCAAACGACGTCGCGGCGGCTTCGGTCGGCGACGCGACCGGCGATGGCGGCTTCGTGAACGCCGTCGAGTTCCACGAGTTGACGGCGGCGGCATTGTTGAAGACGGGCCCTGTCGGGTAGCTCGGCGCCGACGTCGGCATCGGGTGGCGCAGCTCGTAGAGCAGTGTGAGGAACTCGGGGAACTCGATCGTCCCGCTCTTGTCCGTGTCGACCGACGCGATGAGGTCGGCGACGAACGCGTCCGATGGCACCTCGCCGACCGCGAGGAGGACGTTGCTGAGCTCGGAGGCGTCGATGGAGCCGTCGCCATCAGCGTCGAACTGCTTGAAGGCCCGCTTGAGGTCCTGGATCTCCTTGGGCGAGAACTTCTGGAGGTACTCGGAGGGCACAAGATACGACATGGCAGCTTTCGAAATGAGGAAATCCGCGGCCTTCGCACCTCTGGATCCAATTAATTTAAAGATATCGTTGCAGAATACCTTGGTTTTGTATGGCATGTCGCATTAAAATACAGGAAAATCTTTTGCTGTGGCCAAAAATAACGCAATCCGTCCGAATCAGGCCGCGTAGGACATGGACAGCCGGCACGACGGGTGCGTCGGCGCGACGTGCGCGGAGGCCATTGCCTCATCGAGGCGCGTAGCTGCATGGGCATGTAGCCCATGATGGCTGCATGCGGCGAGGGTCGGCGCTGCCCGGCGAAGCGACGAGCTGTCCACGAACAGAGAAGATGCGTCCACGTCGCATGTGGACAAGCCAAAAAGTATGTGCGGATGTCAGACTGTAGGTGCGAGCTTCCGCGGACGTCCGCGTAAACATACTAGCCGTAGCCGCTACTAGCATAGGTTGAGGCCTTGGCATGGACAGCCACGGCGCCTCGGAGCGAGACCATCGAGCGGGACTTGGTGCACCGGCGTGGTGCAACAGCCAGGTTCAAGAAGGGACGCGCAGCTAATGCTGGCGGCGTCTCTCGCACCATAGGACACGCGAAGAATGTTTTCGAGAATGTACGATGTGGCTACTCGCACAGCTACACGCACCTGCAAGGTCCAAACTTAGTGTACGTCGCAGCGACAACTTGTACTATGGGACGTGGGACGTGGAGCGTAGACCGAGCAGAGCGTAGCTACCCAATACGACGACAGTACGTAGATGCGGTGCCCAGAGAGACGTCGTCATGCGAGAGCTGCCGACCCCGCACTCGTGGGTACGTGGCATTCTCCACGGGCACCTAAATCTCGTATTGTCCAATCACAACGCGACAGCGTCCCAAGGAATACATGCACTTGATGCGGAATGTATGCAGAGAGAAGCATGCTGAGGACCATCTTCGTCGCCGTCATCGATGTTGCTGTCTTTGCAGATAAGGGGTAGGTCTCCACCCACGGATGATGCCTCCGACAGTGTCGTGCAATCAATTGCGTCATCTTCCAATTCTACTAACTAACCTTATCGGTACAGTGTCCTTGCGACTTGTGTTGCGTCGAGTGACACTGCCTACTTAGTTTAAAAAGCATAGTTTAGTCGTGTATGCGCTGCCGGGGCTGCCTAGCGGCGGTGTCGCCATCGTCCCGCTTGCGCTTGGTCGACGTCCAGTGTTGCCAGTGGGTGGCAGCGGCGTGGGCGCGTTGGCACAGCGCTTCGATTTGCACGCGCTCCCGCTTGCGCTCGGAAACGCTCACGTCGGTCACTTGTTTTGGCAAGTCCCGCACACTCGCCCAGGCACCGCTCGTGAGCGCCGGGAAGAGCCGCGCGTTCTCTTCGTTGACAAACACGGTCGCGCGCCCGGGATCGCCACTGCGTCCTGCACGGCCCACAAGGTGCACGTACTCTAGCATCCATACGTGGATGCGCGCGATACATATCTGTCGGTACGTACCGTCGACGGTCGGCGGCAAGTCAAAGATGACCACGTCGTCGACGCTGAGGAGGTCCATACCGCGCCCCAAGACGTACGTCGCCACCAAGATGGACGCGGTTCCTGCCACAAACGCCTCCATCGCTTGCAGCCGCGCGGCCTACGCCGTCCATATCGTACAATGGGCATCCATATGCAATTGTACCTGGGACTTGCCGCCGTGGATCGAGAGGGCTGGGACGTTGCACGCCTTGTAGATGGACTTGACGAGCACGTCGGCGCCTTGCTGGGACGCCACAAACACAAGCTACGAACCATAAAACCATGTTGGGTCTCCGCATCTCGTCCATAAACGACGTATCGTACGGTCGCGTGCAGCGGGTCGTCAGAAGGTTTCCCCCGAAGCAGCTCGAAGAGGCGCTTTGTCTTCTGAGCGTTGGCAACGAACTGCACATGCTGGGTCACATGATGAGGAATGTCAACCGCCAGACCCGACGAGAATCTGTGCGTCACGCGGAGAACGTCAGGTGCCAGCGTGCGAGCAATGGCCTCCGCAGCTGGCGTCATGGTTGCGCTGGCAAAGAAGAGCTGGCGATTTGGAGGCAGAAGCGAGAGCAGCGTGGTCGTTGCGTCTCGAAACTCATCGTCGCAGAGCCGATCGGCTTCGTCGAGGACGCAGGTACGGACGTCGTGCAGCATCAAGCCGTGGTCGGTATGGATGGCCAAGAGACGTCCGGGGGTACCAATGAGCACTTGCGGACCTTGGGCGAGTCGGTGGAGCTACTGTCCTAGTGTAGCACGCGAATAGGAGAGCCAACGTACTTGGTTGGGCAGAGGCAGACCGCCCACGAGCAGCGCGGTTCGCATCTTCGGAATGCCTTGCACGAGTGCCTATGCAGCGTCGATAAACGCCACATCGCAGGCGCCTTGCAGTCGAGACTACCTTGATCTGGGCTTCAATTTGTATGCAGAGCTCGCGGACGGGCGCGAGGATGAGGCCGAGGATCCCGTGGATCTCAAAGCGCGCCGCCATCGTGCGGGCGAGCAGCGGCAGCAGAAACGCCACCGTTTTGCCCGTGCCTGTTGGCGCGCATAGAAGAACCTACAGATCCGCATGAGGCGCGACGTGGAGAGCCATTATGGGCCAAGTACGTCGTGGCCTGCACGCCCGAGAGGCAACACTTGCATCTGGATCGGAGTCGGCTGCAGCAGCTCTGCGCGCGCCATGTTAGCAACAAGCTCGGGTGCCAAATCGACATCGTCGAAGGTCGTTGCGAGCGGCGTCGCCGAGTCTGGTGTGACCGCGAGCCCCAGCTCCGCGCGGAGTCCGCGGGTTGCGGCGCGGGCTTGCGCGGTGTCCCGGCACTCGAGGCTGCAGACGTCTTCGTCCGTTGCATCGCAGACGTAGGCGCCGTAGCGGCCGCAGAGAGCGCAGACGGGCTCGCCATCGACGGCCGCGCGCTGGGCAGCGCAACGTGCCACGATGGCGTCTTCAACTCCGTCGGCCATCTCGAGTGAGTATCCGGATAGCGAGCGAATGGCCGGATGACAATGTCCACGTTTTAATTTGCACCATGTTCATATGGCGACGGCCGTCCATATCCTATTACATGTTTGCTCCACGACCACAGACTCGCTTGCTTGATGTGATCACAGGATGTCGACAATCAAGATCAAGCGCAACGACGTCAAGAAGCTTTGCGTCAAGCAGATCGACGCGATCTCTTAGTGGCAAGAACGTCCATCAGCACCGAAAGTACGCGTGCATAAAACAGTTTTTCTATATCAAGTGCACAATCACTATGTACTCGTTTTGTGGGTATTTACATGCGAGGAGGAGCAGTATTGCTACCGGTAGCAGGAGCACTACATATCGGTAGCATGATCACACTTTGGACAAGCGGCAAGCGACAATGGCGGTACATATTTATCCGGGCAACATTATCCGGATGAAATGTGCTCGTCGGCGATGCTCGGCAGCTCGTTGACGACGTTTGGAGTTTTTTATGGAGTCGCATGTTTCGCTCGATATGGATAGCGTAGGACGCAGGGAGTCCAAAAACCAAAGAATGGGGCTCGTAGCGTGCCTACAGCCTGCGCTCCTTCCAAATGTAATATGGTGGTCGCTTGATACACTGATACTAGATTCAGTATCAGTTTTTGCCAACTTGGACGGCGCACAACGCAGGCTGTAGGCACGCTACGAGTCCCATTCTTTGGTTTTTGGACTCCCTGCGTCCTACGCTACGCATATCGAGCGAAACATGCGACTCCATAAAAAACTCCAAACGTCGTCAACGAGCTGCCGAGCATCGCCGACGAGCACATTTCATCCGGATAATGTTGCCCGGATAAATATGTACCGCCATTGTCGCTTGCCGCTTGTCCAAAGTGTGATCATGCTAC